GTTATAAGAAGTTATAAGGGCACTGGTAAATTTTATTTTTCACGAATATTTTGGTCTTACCGCGACACTTCTCAACTTCTAGTACCGTACATTATCCACTAAGGTTGATAAAATACATATAGGCAGAGGGTATGTGTCTGCATTTAAATGTAATATTAAATGTAATGTGTCTGATTTAACTTACTTTTCATCCAGGAGGGGTTTCCTGTCTGTGGTGTATCTGATGGTGTAGGCCTATCAGGTGTATCGGCAACCGAAGGTGTATCTGCAATTTCTAAGTATATGAAAAATATGCGTTAATTTTTCATACTGCTTTGCTATGTTTGTGTTTGTTTGAATATAGGCCTAATATAATTTACTTCGAAGTGATTATAGTTCAACATGGGCAAAACAAACAATAAGCATTTTGTGACCTTCTGTTAGTGCCTTCAATGCCAGATGGAGTTCAAGGCTTTCCAACGAATCAGTGAAATCTTCCATATTTCCATCACTTATTTCTAGTCTGGTTTCTAGATCAATAATCATACTCCAGCTGTCATTGTATTTCTTTAAAGTTGTATTATACAACCCATCAATCTTTCCCACATCGCCCTCAGCCAGTGCCATCCCAAATTTCATTAGCTTTTGTCTGTGATGACTGAATATTTTTGAAACGGTTCCTCCATTAACTTTCGGGAACGATGGCAGTTTTTCTTCAATCTTCCGTTGAAGAGCAAAATGTTGGGTTACGGTGATAGTAGCAGACAGGAGAGTAAGATCTGTCGCACTCACATGATCATGTTTAAACAACTCATTCAACAGTTCAATCGTGCTATGTATAGACATTAGTTTCTGGTATCCAATCTTATCTCGGAACAACACTTTCAGCATATTAAGACAATTGTTGTCGTCATACCATGTTGACACTTCTAGCTTTATAGCATTAAACTTTCTGTCTTCTTTTGCTAAAAAAAATAATTGGCGATGTTAATACTAAGTAAAATTAAACATATGTAACGTATTTCATTTTTCTTTTTTCTTTTTTCTTTTTTTCTTCTTTTTTTGAACATCCTAAATTGGATCCCTTCTAAACACAGCGTTACTTTAACGTTAAAATACATTAAAACATGACTATCTCCATTACGTAACCTTTTCCAAATAGTGTTGTCACTCACTTTTTATGTATGGGACGTTGTTGTGAACATAAGGGAATAACATTTCGAAGAGGCTGTAGCATGTGGATTAGTGAAGTTGAACATCAACTCCATGATTAGTTAGAAGTTAGTTACCGGGGTGTCTTCAACTATTGCATTAGTAAAATATCTTCATTTTCATTAATTAATGCAAGTCACGTGACATTAGTAATCAATATCACTTCTAGATTGTTTTATTGCAAGTAACATAGCACATGTATAAAAGGCATTTCTAGATAGAAACGAGACTAAATGTATCGATTTATATAGGATTTTTATTGTAGCGTTGAAAATCTTTAACCTACATCTGGCATTAAGGCACTAACAGACTGAAATATCATGAAATCCTTTTTGTTTACCTTTATCCTTTTTAGATGCCATGTTATATCAGAAGAACCCAGTTTAGTTGTTGAAGTTTAATTATTCCTGAAAAAATAATTATAGAAATTATTTAATTATTGGATAAATAATTTCATCTGGTTTCATCTGGTTCAATAAATTATAGTTTCTTTGCGCTTATTTATTTCATAATAATTAAAATATGGAGAATATTAATGATATCGAAAGTAACAATGATGAATAATGAAAAATAGTAATAATGATATTATCATTATTAGTTAGGTACTGTTCTGACTCATAAAATTAAAATGGTCTAAAAACACATCAGCCTACATGATGGCAGCAAATTTTGCGCCTGACGCGTCAACTTAACACACAACATTCTTATAACATTTCTTCATTTTTAACACGCAACAAAAGCAAGTGTGTGGTTCTGGTAACAGTATGATTGTGTTCATGCTATAAAACAAAAATATGTAAATAAGAAAGTGTTTCTCTTTAGGTATGTTAAAAAGAAAAAGAAGGAATAAAAAAAATATTAAAACCTCAAAAAAGGAGGATAATGAAAGGCTACACTACAACTAAAGGAATTTGCAAAATTAATTTCTATATAAATTGTAAATGTATAAATTCAATTATAATTTATGATGATAATGATGATCCACAAAAGAGAAATAAAATGTTCACATAACGTTTTGCAAATAATTGGTTCTTAGTATTATACGCTTCTGCTATTAGTGTCCTGTGAAACCGTCTCAGTGTTAAAGATAAAGGGAAACTATATAATAAGTATATAGAATTATGAATTATGTATTACACAGAATTGTACACAAATTAAGTACAGTATTTAACAGTGATATTGATATCAAAAATTTGTTAATCATTTTTAACTTTAGTAATCGCATAATATCTTAATCCATTCACCCACTTTTAACTGCATATATTCTGTTACCACCAGGGTGTCGTTTGCCTCTGTTTACTCAAGAAGTACTAAAGAAATAACTCTGTAAAAACAATACTATTATAGGTAGTTGTTCAATTAAAGTTTATTAAAATCCCACTATGTAAGCTAAGAGACTTGCTAGATGCTGTGAAGCTATGGCTTCGCAAATGATGCCTCTACCACTGTCTGCATTACGGTAGACGAGGCGCATGATTCATCCATCATAGATGCTCATCCGTCAATATTTATGCCTAAAAACAAATTAGATTATGAGAAGGCTTTTGACTCCCTGTAATAGACCTTTCTATTAATTAGAATCTTAAAAAAATTAATTTTGGAAATGGTTTTATATAATACATTCAAAGTCTTTATACATACATACATACAGAGTTGTATAAACAGTAATGGTTAACATCAGGGTATTTTCCAGTTAATCGGGGAGTCCAGCAGGGAGAACCGCAGTCCCCCTGTTTATCTATCATGCGGCTGAATTCCTAGCCTGTGCTATTAGAAAGCACAAAGAAATAAAAGGGATCAATGTGAATGAAAATATCATAGATATTATTCAATAAGCTGATGATACTCCATTGGCTGATAGTAAACCAAATCACTTATTACTATTTTCTCCACATTTTAGGGGTAAATTCAAACTATGATAAAAACTACAGCGATGTGGCTTGCATGGTTCTTTGAGGAATTCAAAAGATATACTACCAAGAGTAGAAGTAGCAAAATATCCCATTAAATCTCCTCGCTTTTACTTTTCATATAACACTCAGCAGTGTGAAAATTTAAATTTTGAATTCAAAGACTTTTAAATGGAGAGAATTTTGTAATAATATACAAAACATAATTATGGGAAATGGAGTTATTTTGTTTTTGTAACTATAAATACAAAGAAATTCGAACAATAAAATTCTTTTTTATAAATATTATTTTACCTAATAGAAATTTACTCATGAAGGCTATTCTGCCCTGCTCTGAGAAAAGGCATTAAGTACATTTTTTTCAAAAAAAGATTTTTAGCTTATGTGACTCCTGAATGTCTAATCTATCACCCTATTTTATCTAATTTCCAAAAATATGTCTGGAAATATGAAATTTTATTTTAAAATTGGGCATTATCTGCAAATTTCACTATAAATACTATAAATACTCTGAGAAAAGGCATTATGTGCGCGAAGCCTTACATACATGCATTGAATGCTTGACTTCACGCAAGACAGATAGTAAGTAACCAATCAGATGCTAGTATAACGAATATCTAATTAATTGGATTAGAATAATTAACAGATAATGCCTAGTTAGTAACTACTTTATTTCAAAGAATACTCTGAGAAAGTACATTATCTGCTATATATTTTACGGCGTTTATTTATAATTCTGTGATTAATGCGATACTTTTGCCGAAATGATGCAAGTTACAGCACAAGACCTTTTTAGAAGTCTTTTGGAAGAGTAGGTACAATATTGTATTTTATTATGTTTCATACCTATTAAGTAGTAAATTTAGATTATTATTTAGTAGAATTATTTTTTGTTTTATCGACATTGTATGTTTTGTATTGTGTTTATTATTATTATTATTATTATTATTATTATTATTATTGTTTATTATTGTTATTATCATCATTATTATTACTCTTTAAGGCAACCAGGTGGTAAACCAAGATGGACAGACACAATTTTCGCCATCGAGATCGTGCTCCACTTCGAGGAAGGGACATTGAGTAATGCAATTTTGAAAGAAAAAGTGTAAATAAGTATAAAAAAAATAAATAAAAATGTAAAAGTCGGAGCATTGTAAATAAAACTTTTAAAATCTTTTGTACTCATTTGTATAACCTATGTTGTATTGTATCATTATCATTGTAAAAATAATAGTTGCAATGTATATTATAACTTAACAAATATAAATTTATTAATTTTATATTTAAAATTAGCACACCATTTTTATACATATTTTTCTACAAGTTATTGTTAATTAACAAGTTATTATCAATGAACTTTGAAATTGAAATTGTAATGCTTTGTCTATTTTATTATCAGTCGATAACGATTTAATTATTATGATATTCTAATTATCAATTGATAATGGTGATTATGATGATGATGATGATGTGGATGATGATGATGTGGATGATAATGATTAAGATGATGAAGAGATTGAAAAATATGGCATTCTAGTTACCGAACATTAAATAAAATAAGTTTAAAATATTTCAACTCTATCTTACCTCACCCCTCCCCCGACAACACCGGCTCCTTCCCCTCCTCTAACTGCATTTTCCTCATTTACACAATTACTAAATTTATCATTTTATAATGTCAGAGTATACTAGCCTTCAATTTTTACACTAACCTTTGGATTTCATACCTATACTTCGGTTTTTAAAAATTAAATAGAAGATTTTGCGGTTTCAAGTATTTTGATATTTTTAAATACTAGTTTTCACTTTTTTGGAGCCAGATTTTTATAAAATATATGTTATAAATCTATAGCTTAAATTTCGTATACATACACTCCAATAAATTAATAATTAATGCATGTTTATAAACACTTTTGCAGATAATGCCCAATTTCAAAAGTATTTGAATACATTCATAGTTATAAATACTCTGAAAAAAGGCATTATCTCCATTTTGGCCCCCTTAATAATAAAATTAATCAATAAAAAGTATGTGGCAAATTTTTGAATAATATATCTAAGAAAAGCATAGGTGAAAAAATTTGAAATCATTTATAATTTTCTTGGGAAAAACTCAAACGCGTTTTGCTCATTTACTCAAAACTAGGATTTTGTTACTTAATGCCTTTTCTCAGAGCAGGGCAGTATTGTATAAGTAGGTTTATTATTTGGAATATCTAGGATATTAAAATTAACAGTAAAAGTGTTTTTAATAGATCTTCTTATGAACGTGGTATGGTCTATATTCAAGACTTATACAATTAAGAAGGGCAATTGAACAATGTTGATGTATCGATTAAAAAGGTGTCAAAAAATCCCTAAACCTAAACTGTTGTTTTCTGATTTCAGCAATTCCAACTAAATTAAAAATGGATGCTGTACAAAATTAGAAAACACAGGACACAAAACTACAAATGAACTTGTGCTTGTTCAGCTTAATCAGATTATTCCATTTAAAAGCGTTACAACAAACAGGTCTACAGCTTCTTTTTAAATAAAAAAAAATGTTAAACCTACTTCTGATGTTTTTTGAAGTCAAAATAAAACTTGAAGCAAGGCGATTAGGAAGTAATATATATAAACTACCATTCATAATACTACATTATACAAAAAGAATATTTTTTTAGTATAAGATTATTATGAATGTATGAAACCAAAAATTAACACACATGAAGTTAGAAGAAAATGAACTTTTCACATTCTTTAAAAAAGAAGACAATTGTACACTTATTTGTAAATTGTACTTGTATAAATAGCTACTGGCAATAATTTATTATTTGGTCGGACAGTAAACATAAAAGGGAAAATCGAAAACAATAAGAATTAATATTTGGGGCGAATAATACTAATTGTATACACCCGTACTCTAAGTGTACACCCGTACTCTAAGTTTTTTTTTTAACTCATTCGACATTTTTACTAAACATCAATATGACTTTAGAGCGAAACACACAACTACCCATGCTATTCTATATCTTATCAATAAAGTTACTACTGCACTTGATAATAGATTGCATACAGTTGGGGTATTTCTGGACTACTTCAAGGCCTTCGACAGTGTAGATCATGACATCCTTCTCCTTAAGTTATCTAACTATGTTGTTCGTGGCAAGGCCTTGGAGTGGTTTAGAGATTACCTCATTGGTCGAATGCAGTATGTCCAATTTAATGGGGTTGAATCACGGCGTAAACGTGTTACTTGTGGAGTCCCGCAGGGATCCCTATTAGGTCTCGGTTTTCTTGTTTTCATTAAAATGATTTTGTTCGCTCTTCTGATGTCTTATCCTTTATTTTATTTGCTGACGATTCTAACCTTTCTTTTTCTCATAAGAATGCAACTGAACTAATTAGAATTGTAAATACTGAACTCCGTAATATAATGGACTGGACCCATGCCAATCGCTTATCTCTCAACGTTTTAAAAACTAGCTTCATGTTTTTCAGTAACATTTTGAAAGATCTAACTACTCCAATAACACTAAATGGTCAAGTAATTACAAGAGTGGAATCCACAAAATTTCTTGGAATATATATTGATCAGAGATTGGCATGGGATGTCCATATTCACAATATTTGCAATTTCATTGCAAGAAATTCAGGTGTAATTTATAAAGTTAAAGAGTTCGTCCCTACAAATATTTTAAAATTATTATATTACTCATTGATTTTTCCTTATTTATCTTATGGATTCATTGTTTGGGGATGTGCCTCTGATGTGTACATCAATAAAATCTTACTTCTACAGAAAAGGGCCATTAGAATTATCTCAAATGAAAGAAGGCTTTTTCATACTCCTCCTTTGTGTTGGGGTATTTATGTTTCAAGCTAAATCTGGGGATCTCCCGTCCAATATTTCCGATATTTTACTTTTAATAATCAAATCCACATATCAAAAACATATACGCCTAGCCTATCTTTTGACTTCTGGGGAGGGATCGACGTTTCGACTCCTTTATGGTGTCATCCTCAAGATTATTTTTATTGTTGTTATTGTTATTAATATTATTATGATGAAGATATTATTGTAATCTTAAGTTTTGTAATTAAGTTATTTACCGGAGTCAGTTTAAAGGCTTGCCTCCTTGATTTCGGCATTTGTTATTTTCAAAACGAGTGAAATAAAGTCGGTATTGTAATTTGCTACTAAATTGTTTAATCTGGGAATATTTGTGAAGTCTTAACACAAAATGAGACGCATCATTGATAAAATCATATTGAGATATTCACCAAAATAAGTCAAAGGCAACATTTTTACAAAATGTTGATTTTAATGTTTTTGAATATCTTGATACTTATATTTTGATTGTGTACTTTTAAAGTAAATTTTCTTACTAAAACCGTGTTCTCTGCGCATATTCTGTAATTCTAGTCCAATTATTTGTACAGGTTAGTTATCTCGGTGTATCTATTTATCCTAGGGACCATTCAAAGACCCAATTAAAGCTTACAATGTGATTTACCAAAATATAATGTAAACTCATTTTTTGATTTTCTAACGATGATACTCATTTTTTAGTGAGACCTCACATTTTTTACCTGTTTAGGGGAACTAAAAAAGATGTATATAATGGAAAACGGTATTGCTTGTAAGATATTTAAAAAACAAATTAAAGAGGAATGGAAATTCATTAAAATTGAAGATTAAAATTGCAAAAATATAATTATCGTTTATAGAATGTACATGAAATTGTTTTTGCAAAGTTATAAGTAAAAAAATAACTGTTGAGGCTTCTTGTCTTGAGGCGTTTAGAATCATAATGCTGAGTTTGTTCTGTAACTACAAAATTGAAAATAACACAAAGGGGGTTAAAAGAAAATGGTCAATGCTTTTCTGTATTGTAACCTTTTATTATTTTGATATATGTTTAAGTTTCTCATGATTGATGTTGAATTTTCTTTTGCCTTTGTTTATATTATATATATATATATATATATATACAGTATATATAATATATATATATACATAATTACTGTTATTAAAAGAATAAAAAAGTTGCATAACATAAATAAATTACCTACTTTTATGTTTAATTTGCAATATTTGTTAAGATAAAAGTATAAGAGACTGGATGTTGACATAGTGGTAGCAAACTAAATA